CCTGGGCTTACCCAGAGCTGAACAGTTGTTGAGATGACCAGCTGCAGAGAGGAGCCACTCACTTTAGGGCCTGTTTTCTGCTGAGAGCTGTGCAGACAATGGGACGACCAGCTGCAGAGAGGAGCTACCCTTTCTGCTAGGAGCTGAACACTTGTCCAGACACCCAGGCTGTGGAAAGGAGCTGCTCCCTGCAGGTTTCCTTTGAGCTGTTCTGTTGCTCAGTGAAGCTCCTCTTTGTCTTGCTCCTCCACTTGTCTGCGGATCTTTTCTTCTGGTCGCAGGACAGGAACTCGGGGCCCACTGAATGGTGAAGCTGAAGAGCTGTAACACATACAGGGCTGAGACATGCCCCTTGCTCGCCACATTGTGGGCGAAGAGAAGGAAAGAAGAGTTGTGACCCTTCGGGAAACCCAGACCTGGGAGCTCCCTGAGCCAGGGTTGTCACTCCCTCTTTGGGGCCCTTTGGTTCTTGGAGTTTTCAAGCTTCCAGGCACCACCATATTTCCCAGTGCCATCTGTGGAAGCTGCTTGTGGTGTGCGTGGTCCGCCCACAGCCTCTCAGAGAGCCGGCACCTGTGCCAGCACCTGGAGCTGCTTGCCCTGCTGCAGCAGCCAGCATGTCTGACTGTGTGCAGTGGCCGGACCCCATGCTCACTCACACACCCCTTGCCATTCCACACCTGACTTGCCTTTGGCAGGCGTGGGACCCAGGCCAGTAGTGTGAGCCGAGTGCAGCCTGCCAGGTCGAGTGGCCAAAATGAGCCCAGTGGGTCTCAGCAAAACTCAGGTAAAGACGGGGGTTTCTGGCCAGAAAAACGACACCCCAAAGATCCTGTAACAATGGTTATTATTTTTCTGGCAGTTTTTTCTTGTTTCCTTTGGGGAAAAAGCAAAGCTTGCTTGTTTAGGGGTAAAAACTTGAATGTCCAAGCCAAATACTGTCATGTTGAAATAAGGTAAATAGGTAACAGTTTCCCCAGTGGGGCCTAGAGTGTAGGATAAAGTGATCTTTTGTAAAAAGAGAACATTATTTTAATGCAACAGCTTTTAAGATTTTTTTCACATAATACTTCTAAAATGTATTTCTTTGCCGAAATAATCATTTTTAGAGTTCTTCGAAGCAGTTTAGAGGAAGATGTTACATATGATTCTGTTCACGAGTTATAGGTAAAAGTTTGCCTATAACATAGATCCATTTTCCCCAAGTTCTTTAGTTAACAAAGAATGCTTTTAAAAATGTTATTAGGCCAGGCGCGGTGGCTCATGGCTGTAATCCCAGCACTTCGGGAGGTCGAAGTGGGCGGATCACTTGAGGTCAGGAGTCGACACCAGCCTGGCCAACATGGTGAAACCCCATCTCTCCTAAAAATACAAAAATTAGCTGGGTGTGGTTGCCCACACCTGTAATCCCAGCTACTCAGGAGGCTGAGACAGAGGAATCACTTGAACCCGGGAGACGGAGGTTGCAGTGAGCCGAGATGATGCCATTGCACTCCAGCCTGGGTGACAGAAAACAAAAATGTTGTTGGATTTTTTTTGAAGCATTAGACAAATGGGTAGTTAATTCAGAAAGGAGTTTGCTTCCTAGTTGCATATACATGTGTAATACTTGACATTTTCAAAACACCCACTATTTTATTTGATTTTCATCACATCTTGGAAGTACCACAGCTAGTATTTTTCCTATCTTGAATGTATATATATAGATATTGAGGGCAAAATGAATTTCTTAATGTCATACAGCCTTGTTAAGTAGGAATTTAGATTTAAATAATGCTAAATTAGATTGAGAGTCAAAGTTGAGATTTAAACGAGACTCTTTCCTTGCAAAACAATGCATTCTGTATCTGCTATGTTCCACGCACTGTGGTCAGCACTGGAGATACACAGATAAGACACAAATATTGCCCTCCGGGGGCTTGAAGGTAGTGACAGAGACTACCCAGTGAGGGAAGTGAGTGTAGTGGTGCCCCACGGAAGGGCCATGTAGTTAGATATTTTTGAAGGAATGACTAGAAGTTAGCCAGCTTAGTGGGTGTGGATAGAGATGGTCAGGTAGAAAGAAGAGTCAGGGAGGCCTTGTGTCTTTTGGGGAGTGCTAGTATTCCCATTGTCAGTCCTGTTCTTTGCCGTGCAACCAGAGGTAGACAGTTGTGCCCTATATTGAGAAGTTTGTAAAAAGGTTTCAGGGTGCCAAAAGAGAATTTAAGTAGATGCAGAAGACCTTGGATTGATCATGGTTTGACTCGTAGTTCTTGGGTTTATTCACTGTAGAATTATAGATGACTATTTCTGAGCCCCAGTCACCTCATCTGTAAAATGGAAATAACATTCAATTTATAGGCAGTTAGAAGGACTATGAAAAAGCAATGGGCTGGGTGTGATGGCTCACACCTGTAATCCCAGCCCTTTGGGAGGCTGAGGCTTGAGCCCAGGAATTTAAGACCAGTCTGGGCGATATAGCAAGACCCCATCTCTACCAAAACAAACAAACAGACAAACAAACAAATTAGGCAGGCCTAGTGCTGCATACCTGTAGTCCCAGCTACTTGGGAGGTGGCTGAGGTGGGAGGATCGATCAATTGAGCCTGGGAGGTGGAGGCCGCAGTGAGCTGCACTCCAGCCTGGAAGACAGAGCAAGACCTGTCTCAAAATGTACAAAAAAAAAAAAAAAAAAATTAAAAAAGGAAATGTAAATAAAAACACCTAGCGTGCACCAAACCTGTAAGTACTCAGTAATGGGAGATGAATTAGGAGAAGTAAAGACAATTCTTTACATGTATATAAGCTTCTAAGTAGAACTGAAATATGAGTTGAATCTTCTTTGAAAATAGTATCAAAATATTTGAACATTTCTGAAACAGCTTAGCTGAAGTGGTCTTATAATTTCATGTTTTAAAATTTAATATTTAGGAATCCTTCCATATGGCATTTCTTAATATCCTTATTTGAAAGCAAGACTTTTTGTGTAAGATGTGATTGATAGGCTGTGGGACTAACACAAGTTAGTTCTTGTGTAGAATCAGTTTTGTTTGCATTCTGTTGTGTACCATGCTCATCCCCCAACACTCTGACCCAGAAATGAATTCTTAATTGGAAGACCTGGATCTGTCGTTTGCTGATGGTCTAATCTTAGACAAATTAGTGGCCATTTAGGTGTTTCTTTAGTGTTAAAATGGGACCTAATTAACTTAGCTTTACAGAATAGAATGAAATCATGCATGGATGCACTTTTGTAAAACAGTGTGTTCGACTGGGCTGCCACAACAAAATACAGTTGACCCTTGAACAACACGGGTTTGACCCATGTAGGTCCACTTATCCATGGATTTTCTCCCACCCCTGTGACACAGCAAGGCCAACCCTTTTCCCACTGTGGAGATGAGGATGAAAATCTTTATGATGATATACTTCCACTTAATGAATAGATACATTTTTTCTTCTTGATGATTTTGTTAATATTTTTTCTCCAGCTTACTTTATTGTAAGACTACAGTATAAATGATACATATAATATACAAAATATGTGTTAATTGACGGTTTATGTTACCAGTGAGACTTCTGGTCAACAGTAGTCTGGTAAATTTGGGGGGGATATGAAAAAGTAATACACAGATTTTTTACTGTGTTTGGGTGTTGGCTCCCCTAACTCTCCGGTTTTTCAAGGGTCAGCTGTACTATGCACTGGGTGGCTTAAACAAAGAAATTTGTTTCTCATGGTTCTGGAGGCTAGGAAGTCCAAGACAAAGGTGCTTCCTATTTGGTTCCGGGTGAGGGCCCTCTTCCTGGCTTGTAAATGGCTGCCTTCTCACTGCAGTCCTCACATGGCCTTTTTTTCTGAGCCCTGTGGGAGGAGTGAGAACCTGAGTGTTCTGGTGTTTCTTCATCTAAGGACACTAATCCTATAGGATCAGGGCTCTACCCTCGTGACTTCATGTAGCCTTAATTACTTCCTTATTCCTAGTATGGCAGTATGAGGGGTTTAGGGCTTCAACATAGGAATTTTAGAGGAACACCGTCTATATTCTACTCAGTTTATAACATATGAAAAAGTTGGAAGTGTTCTCTTTTGATGGTTTTATGATTTGGTATTTTGTAAAAGTGAGTTAATAGAGGAATGTATTGTATTTTACTACTCTACAGAGCTGAAGATGTTTATGTGTCATTTGTATCCATGCTTTCTAACTAATATTTATAATTAGTTACAGAAGTGGTTTACAACCAAGTTAGCATAGAAATCAGAATATTTCTGTGCTTAAGGTAATTGTAAATTTCATTAGCCATTCTAGTAGTACATGAAGCCTATACCACTTAGTTGAATATCCTCCCAACTTATTCCAGGTTCAAATATAGTTTGGTTTCTATATAGAATATCCATGTAATTCAGTAATAGTTTTAAAAAATCCTGTTACTTATCTTTGAGTGCATCTTTTTTTTTTTTTTTTTTTTGAGACAAAGTTTTGCTCTATAGCCCAGGCTGTAGTGCAGTGGTGTGATCTCGGCTCACTGCAACCTCCGCCTCCAGGTTCAAGTGATTCTCCTGCCTGAGGCTCCCAAGTGGCTGGGATTACAGGCACCTGCCACTCCACCTGGCTAATTTTTGTAGTTTTAGTAGAGACGGGGTTTCACCGTGTTGGCCAGGCTGGTCTTGAATTCCTGACCTCAAGTGATCCACCCACCTTGGCCTCACAAAATGCTGGGATTACAGGTGTGAGCCACCACCCCCGGCCTGAGTGCACCTTTTTATTCAGTAAAAGAAGAAGCCTTTTAATTAACATTTGAGGTTACACAGCTTTTAAAGATGGCTAAACCTCAGTTTTACATAGATTTTGGAACAAAGGTAGAAGTCTTACCTTCAGAGTGTACGTGTCTTCCTCTTTTTTTTTTTTTTTTTGGTGAATCTCTATGAATTTTGAATTCCTTCTATTTGTATTTCAGATTGTGGTGGAAGGTCTTTCCCAGGTTTCCCAGATTGATCACACTTCTGTTCTTTCTCACAGGCCAGCCCTCCAGATCTCTATATTGAAAGATTTAATATAGCTCTTGGACAATATATGGGAGCATTGCAGAGCATTGTGCCTCTTTTCATATATATGGTAAGTTAGAGAGCTCCTTCCTCCTTCCCAAATACCTAGGTGTATTGGTCAGAGCACAAATAGATGCAAAGAGTTAAGCATGTTGTTTTTCTTTTAGTACATTTGTGTTAGAAATGGAAATTTAATTATTTCAGTAATGTTTGATAGTTGTTGACATAGAAGAACTTTTTTTTCTGCTTTGAAATTCCGTTAAGTAACAATTGCCGAATAGACAAGTAGGCATTAAGATAAGCAGTCACCCACATGAGTACTTACTTTATTTCTGCTATGTGGAAGGCACTGTGTTTGGTTCTACAAATATAAAGATATGTAAGATTTCTTGTCCTCAGAAAGTAAAATGCCAAGTAAGTTCTTCCATAAAAAATAGAACAGTAAAACATTGCTGCCATTCTGATGATCTGTTTTATTTGGAGAGTTATGCTATGAGTATAAGCTGTAGACTGTGACTTTGTTGATCAGCTTCCTCCCTGTTTTAAATATCCAGAGTCATAGAGTCTTAATGTTAGTGCTCCTGTTGCATGGAGGAGCCCTTAGAAACCATGATCCCCATTCTTTATTAGACTAGGGAATGAGATGTTCAGGTTGATCCTACTTTTTGTAGCATGTAGGTTGCTGTATGTGGATGGCAATCTTACGAATGACTTACTCTCCATAAAATGCACTTAACAAAAACAAAACAAAAGTACACCTACCTCTAATTTAGAAGGCACTTCCCAAAAGACGATGTAGTACCTCATGATTTTCATTTACACTTACTTCTTGGTTACTGACAACAATTTTAATAGTACTAGTTTTCTAGTCGGTATAATGCCAAAGAAACTGGTTTTTGCCTTTTACCAAGAAAGGAATGTATAAAAAGTCTTTTCTTTTGGTTTAAGTGCCAGAACTCCTTTATGAATCATGAAACTAAGGAAAAATATTATTGATAACACTAGGAATAAGTGCCTCTAGGTTAGCAGAATTAACTTACTGGGGAGAGTGTAAGCCTGGGAGGGTAGCTAAATTGTATCATTTTGGTGAAATCCTATCATGGGCTATTCATCAGGAGTGTGTGTTAGGTAAATGTCCTGTACTGACAGAGCAAACATTTTATTTCCGTGCCAGCCGACTCCTTATTCTTGCTGTTTTAAAGTTTTCAGTGGAGACCAGGTATGGAAGCGGAGCTGAAAGACAGGGCCTATTTGTGGATAAAGGAGTTTAGGGTGGGTGAATAGATTTCTTGACTTGCATGTCTGCCATTTTAATGGCATTTACCAGTAAGCATGTTGGCTAGGTAGCATTAGTAATAAAAACAAAAGTCTAATTTATAATTTTGAATCAAAAGGTAAATAGCTGGTTTATTAAAAGAATAGGTTAAGACAGAAAGGTGATTTATGCTTTTCTGTATTGCCATTGTTGCTTTCTTAAACTTTATGGTGGGATCCTGGGGTTTAAGAAGTCTTGTGTCAGTTAAGAGTAAATGAACTTCAAACTTACTGTTTCAGCTAGCAGAATTCAAATAAGGGATCTTAGATTGTAAAGTGTAACTACAACTTTTCTTATAGATTAAGAGCTTGAATTTGCTTTGTAGTTACTTTTGAAAATTTGTTATTTAAATTGCTTTTATTGTCCAGAAGATAGAAATTATTTGAACTTTGGTACTGCTTTGTTAGAAAAGTATATTAAAGAAAATAGTTTGAAATGTTAACCTACTAGTGCCATAATAAGCAAAGTTTCTTTTGCTGACACAGAAATTTGTAAAAACATTTGTCAAAATTAATGTCTTTGTTAGAAGTCTGTCTATATGAATATCAAGAAATTGTCATTAAACTAGAAGATTAATTGTAACTAAGGTCTTGTTGAAAGGCACAGAGATCAAATAAAGACATTTATTTTTGCTTACAATTTTGGAATTTAACATTATTGTACCTGAGACAAAGTTAAAAAGAGGTGGACTAATTGGAGTTTCTAAGTACTTCTGAAGTTTTCATACTATTTATTTTTATTGGTTTCTAGTTACTTACAAAGAGTAGAAAGGGTACATTAAAATGCTGGGCATTCAGATCTTAAATGTCAATAGGACAATATACCAGGAGAGAAAAGCATTATGAACATGTTACAGTGCTGCAGAGGTTTTGTTTATGGCCAGTCTTGGGGGCCAGTTTATGGCCAGATTCTGGGGGGCTTGCTCCCAACAGATTGTCATTGGTGGCAGGGATAGATAGATCAAGGGAACAGAGCCCGGAAATAAGCTGAAGTAAATGTAGAAGTTTAATAAGAAAGGTGACATTTCAGATCAGTAAGGAAGGAGTAGATTTTTCCATACCTAATGTTAGGAATTTTTTTTGTTTTTCCCTGTAGAGATGGGATCTTGGTATGTTATCCAGGCTGGTCTCTAACATCCGTCCACCTAGAAGACTTCCACATATAAGAATTACGCAGGTTTATTGTCATCAGTAGGGACTATTATTTAAATAATTTATGGAAGACAGAAAAATATGCAATTATAAGTAACACGACTCTGTTTTTTTAAGAGAAAAATCTTCCAATATACAACATTAAATGAAAAATGAAAAAGCAAGATACAATGCAGTGTTTAATATTTTCTCACTAGTATTTTTTTTTTTTAGGGGGAAAAAAGCATATCCACATATATGCAAGGAACATCCTAGAAAGAATATACAGAAGTTTTCCCAGTGTAGAATGAATGGGACCTTTTGGGATTGGGTCAGAAGGTCTGCATTGAGAGACTTTTTATTGCATATTGTTTTGCATGCTTTCTATTTTTTAACCATGTGCATCTTATTTTTATATATTTTTTAAAAAGATGGAAAAAAAACTTGTGTAAGAATTAAATGGCTAGACTTAGTGGCTCACATCTGTGATCCCAGCTACTCAGGTGGCTGAAGTGGGAGGCCAGGCATTTGAGACCAGCCTGGGCAATACAGTGAAACCCTATCTCCAAAAAGAAATCTTTTTAAATTAAATTGAGAGAATCAGTGAGCGACTTAACATTCCTCTATGTGTTTTCTACTCTTCTGCATTAACACTTAAATATGAAAAACTTTTTTTGCTGGGCGTGGTAGCTCACGCCTGGAATCCCAGCACTTTGGGAGGCAGAGGTGGGCGGATCACCTGAGGTCAGGAGTTTGAGACCAGCCTGACCAATATGATTGCATTCCAGCTTGGGCAACAAGAGTAAAACTCTGTCTCAATAAAAAACAAACAAAAAAAACCAACTTTGTTTTGGACTTGCCAGTAATTCTAGTCAAGATTTCAGCTGCAAGAAACAGAAAACATGATTCAAAGTGATTTAAATAATGAAGAGTATTATCTCTTGTAATAAAACTCCAGAAATGAGGCTGTGTCCAAGGTTGGTTGAATCTGTGGTTCAACAGTATTACTAAGGACTTGGTTTTTGGTCTCTCTGCTGTCCATAACATCTGTTTTATCCTCTTCCCTGTCACGGGTGTCCGTGTGAAGAGACCACCAAAAGGCTTTTGTGTGAGCAATAAAGCTTTTTAATCACCTGGGTGCAGGTGGGCTGAGTCAGCAAAGGGAGATAGGGGTGGGGCAGTTTTATAGGATTTGTGTAGGTAGTGGAAAATTACAGTCAAAGAGGTTGTTGTCTGGTGGGCAGGGGTCACAAGGTGCTCAGACCGGGAGCTCAGAGGGAGCTTCTGAGACTCATTGTCCAGGAGAAGGAATTTCACAAGATAATGTCCTCAGTTAAGGCAGGAACCAGCCATTTTCACTTCTTTTGTGATTCTTCAGTTGCTTCAGGCCATCTGGATGTATAGGTGCAGGCTTGGGCTCAGAGGCCTGACATTCCCCTCATGGTTATAAGATGACTGCAAGAGATTTTTCCCTCATGCCAAGGTTTCTCTAAGGCTGCTTGGGCTGCCTTGAGTGTCTACCTCTGAACCAAAGGTGGTCCCCAGGGAATGCCAGAAGCTGAATGACTTTCATCAGTGAAATTGAGTGTGTGCTGGGGAGTCAGCCAGTGCACGTCCACAGCCTGCTTTCAACCCAGATCATTGATAAATGGGGTAATTTTCATTAGTGTTTCTCCATGTTGTCTTTTGATGATATATTTTTAAAGGGTGTTCCACACAGTGTGGTTCTGCAATGTTTGTGCATCCCTGTCTAGTTAATGTTGGATATCTCCCAGTGTTCTTTCGGAGATGTATGGTTGAAAATGTTTTTTCATGTTTTCAACCCGTGCCAGAAAGACAAGTAACTAACAGCTGCAGGGCTTTTGTTGTTGGGTGTTGAGTTTTTCTGTTTTAATTGATGCCTTTATGCATTGTTTTCTAAAATATTTAGTGCTCCAGTTCATTAGACTAACCATTTCCCCAATTAATACACAAAAAAGATTTCATTTTATTTTTCAGAATAAGTTTTACATCGAAACCAAGCTTAACAGAGACTTAAAAGATGACCTTATAAAGCTGTTTACGGAACATGTTGCAGAAAAGCACATTTACAGCCTAATGCGTAAGTAATTCAGCTTATAGGGGTGAGATAACACTAGCAATGATCTTTCCTTTTTCTTTTTGGTCTGAGAGCACTGTCATGTAAATCCCAATATTAACATCTTCTGAACCAGATAGGAAGTGTTGAAGCCCACCTGAGACACTGCGGAATTAAAAATGGGACTTGAAGGTCACCCGGTGAGCTGTGAGCACCTTTACCAGGTCATTGGACAGTGCCCTTGTGTCTGCCCTGATAACTTGTTGCCCGCCCCTTTTTTTCCCTGACAGTGGGGAAAGTATTATTAGGAAGTTCACTTCTAACTTTACTACCAGTAACTCTAGAAGGAATACAGTTGTTTCTCTGAAATGGTAGTACAGAATCCTCTGATTTTTACTCTTTAGTGCAGAAACCCTTCTCTAGTCTGGTTCTGTCATTTATTCTCTATTTTAGGCAAACTTCTTTGCCTCTTGTGGCCCTGAGTTTTCTCTCCTGTGAATTAGGATTTGTAAAATATTTCATGTGCCTGTGTAGATTATTAAGAATATTAAGCTCAGTTAGTTTCTCCTCTCCCCATTCTTGAGTCCTCTTCCCCTCGCAGTAGCTAGCATCTCATCCTGCCTTTCCTGAAAGAATATACTTCTCCAGGTAGAGTTAGGAAGTCCCTGTAACCTAATGTCTCGGCATCCTTTTAAAGCTCATATCTTGTATGACACATCAAGTCATTTTTTCGAATGTGGCACATATTTGGGTTGGCAGGATGTATTTTTGCTTTCCTGTGAACCATAATTAGTGTCTGCCACAATGAACTTTTACTAGAATTTACAAAAGAATTGTTTCAAGCTTGACCATAAACTTTTTTTTCCCCGTTTTTAATGTTAAGTGAAAGAATTATCGAGCGTGGGGCTAGTTTAGAAAGGTAGGGTTTTTTCAAAGAATAGTGTAGTTGAAGATAATATACATTTCATTATTATGTTTCAAGAGATTCCAGAAACAGAAAAGAGGCCTAGAGTCTTGGGAATATGACTTGCATTTTTTTTTTGTAAGGCTGGGAGATGTTTATAAACATCTTTAAACATTGTCTCATGAGGTATTCCAGGTATTATAACCACTTCAGTATTTCCTGATACTGACATTGTCTTTTTGCTTTCATGACAAGATAGAGCATTTTGAAATCTTGTTAAAATTCTGTAGAGAAATGCTACCATTTGGTAGAAAAAGCCTGTCTACTTTGTAAATATATTTTTATATTTGCCAGTAATTTGGAAACTAATTTTATTGGATGTATGCAAAGAGAATATTCAAGAAAGAATATAGTAGTCCAGATCTGGTGAGAGAAAACATAATCATATTGTCTGGTTTTCAATAAAAATTACACTTAAAGGTGGATATATCTTTTTATTTCCAATTAAACAGAAAGGTCCTTAAGCTTTTGTAAATTGGACAAAACTGAGTTTGTCAGATATTTATTGCACAATTATCAGGCATTGTACTTAGAGAAATGACTGGCCTCATTGGTTTGAGCTTCAGAACAACACGGGACAATGTTTAACTGTATTATGTGGATGATCATCGAAGGTTTTTAAACACACACAGGCACTGCTTATATTTGGTAGGACCTATACTTTAAAAATATTTAATTCTCCTAACCCTATAGAATAGGTGTAATCATTACCCTCATTTTAGAAATGGAGAAACGGAAACAAAGAGAGGTTAAAGAAAAGCACAGCTATTAATATCGTTTCCACTTATACATTTTTATATTACCCCTTTACTGCAGCAAAACAAATAACTACATTCAATTTCTATAATTTTCTACAATCTGATCAATTTCCTTCCCGTGGCTTCAGATAGATCTGGAAAGCTAGTGTTCACATTTATTATTGTTGTGTACCAAATCATCCAAAAACACAGTGCCTTGAAACACCAACAGTCTTTTATTTTGCTCTGCAATTTGGGAGGGCTTGGTGGGGTAGCTTATGTCTGCTCTGCTCAGCATTGTCTGTTGTGGCTTAACTGGGGGCTGGGGCTTTCAGTGTGACTCATTCACATGGCTGGTAAGTTGGTGCTAGCTTTTGGTTCCTCTGTGTTTCCTTCATGAGTGAGTATCTCAAGATACAGGAAATGGAAACTGCTGGTTTCTTAGATCCTGGGCTCAGAAGCTGGCACAGTGCCACTTTTGCTGTATTCTGCTGGGCAAGTGGTCACAGAGCCAAAATTCCAGGAGAGAGGAATATATCCTACCTCTTGATAAAAGGCATGTCAGAAGAATTTGGGAGCCAAGTCTTAAAACCAATACAAAAATGTAAAACAAATACTGTCTCTGTTAATAAAGAATCAGTTATTGAATGCCCATATCATTCATTATTGGTATGTTTCATGAATGAAAACAGTAACTTCTTACTGGGGATAAAACTAATTTTCTGTCGGCTCCATGGTATAATCATTTTTTACATATTTGCTTATAAAATAAAGTGGCTTCTATTTTTGGCTGATAGTAAAATTGTTTTCCTTTGAAATTATTTGAATTAAACTCTGAAAGCTGCAGAACTACTAGGATCTATTGTTAATCAAGGTTATTTACATAGTGTGTTAGTGATTCTGAGCAAATGTAACAATAAATGTGTAGCATGGGGTTAATGGTAGAAATTTCCTGGGAAAATATAGTACGTTGACTTTTACAGCAGCAGATTTCTAGTTCAGTTTGCATAGTGTTCTAAATAGTTACGTTTTAGTTAATTTTCTTAGGCAATTCTGCCTTTTAGTTCAAACCATTGTAGTTTGAAATTTTTTTGAAGCCAAGAGTATTTTCAGTTTTAAGAATTGCTTTTCAAATTAATAAAGGAGAGAATCTCCTAAGCAAGTGTGTAGCACTGAGGAATACTTGAAAGAGCAGAGGAGCTTCGTTCTGGTCCCAATTCAGGTATCAAAAGGTGTGTGACTTTCTCAGCAAGGCACTTAACCTGTCTAGACTTTACGATTAGAACTTATCTATTCTAGTGTTTAAACTATATGGCTTATTGATATCTGTGTGATGATTGTTGCATATAAGCAAGCATTTCGGTGTTGGTATGGTGAAGTAGAGTACAGAATTTAGAGTGAAACGTTCTTGAACCTCTTTTGCCTCTAGCTAACTCTGTGACTTCAGGTGAACTATTCAGTGAGGGGTTTTTGTTTTGGCCTTAGTTTCCCTACCTGTTAAAAATAAAAAGGTAAATGATCGAACTTGTGAGAATTAAATATATGTAAAGTACCTAGCACTTGCTAAATGCTCAGTACTCTTTCCTCTCTCAAGTTACCACCCCCAAACTCCCATTTCTTTTTCCTTAAAAGGGGAGATTAACTAGAAAATCTTTTAAACACTTTTCCTATAGAGTGACACCTTAACTCTAATAATCTTTTGTTATTAAATGTAATCATTTTAAAATTTATTTCAAATATTTATGTACATTTTATGTGTGTATCTTTGTATTTATCATTTCTTCATAGCTATCAAATTTGACATAGGTGATTACAGTAATGGTAGGAATGGTTTGCAAATGTATATACTTGACCACATAATCAATATGTTGTTGAATATGAAGAGTTAGTAGGATCATGCCTAATTGGAGGCCAAAATGGTGAAAAGGTTAGGAAGATGGATTAATAAAGAGAGAGAGTGCTTGGATTTTGGATACATGTTGAAATTAGAATCTTATGAGTAGAAAAATCTCTGAAAACCTAACACTTAGAATTTAAATTTTTAAACATTGCATTTTAAAGCAACATGATTTTCTGAAATGCTTAGCATTTGCCTACACCAAGCTTGTCCAGCCCATGGCCTGCAGGCCCCACGTGGCCCAGTAAGGCTTTGAATGCTGCCCAACACAAATTTGTAAACTTTTTTTTTTTTTTTTTGAGATGGCATCTTGCTCTATCACCCAGGCCGGAGTGCAGTGGCGTGATCTCGGCTCACTGCAGCCCCCGCCTCCTGGGTTCAAGCAGTTCTCTGCCTCAGACTCCTGAGTAGCTGGGATACAGGCGCCCACTGCCCCGCCTGGCTAATTTTTTTGTAATTTTGGTAGAGATGGGGTTTCGCCAGCCTGGTCTTGAATCACTCCTGACCTCGTGATCCACCCTCCTCAGCCTCCCAAAGTGTAAGGGATTACAGGTGTGAGCCACCACCCCCAGCCCATAAATTTTCTTAAAATGAGTTTTTTTTGCAATTTTTTAAAGCCCATCAGCTGTTGTTAGTGTATTTTATGTGTGGCCCAAGACAGTTCTTCCATTGTGGGCCAGGGGAGCCAAAAGATTGGACACCCCTGGTGGTCTATGCCGTTCAAACTTGTAACTGTCTACTGATGATAAAATCGGAAGGATAAACTTAACAGTCCATCGCTGATGGCCTTCATCATATATATGCAGACATAACTCAAATTGTATGTTTGAGACTATAAAATCCTCATTGGCCTAGTAAGATGGCATTTCTCTTTTTAGAAAGGCATGAACAGAACAAAATCAGTTTATATGTGATGTTACAAGCCTGGCTTAGGGTAAAATCATACCAAGTTTGTTGTTGTTATTAGCAAATGTAGGTCTTTGAGATAAATTAAAAATGAATCATTTTAGGTCAGTAGTATCTGTTGTGTTCACTAATCAATGGAATTTGTATTTGTTAGTAATCTAATCTAGAGGAATTGTTAGTTGTATTTGTTAGTGATCTAATCTAGAGGAATTATTCCTCCTCATTAAAAACTTTTTAAAAATGTTTGTGTGGCAGTAGATAACCTAAAAGAAAACTGTCTCTGTTGTCATGTTCAGAGTCAGGGTCACCAAAGACGTGAAAAATGAGAAAGATGAGCCATCATCATCCCTCGCCCTTAGCTCTTGTAAGAAAATAGTAGATGTAGCTATAGCATTTGGGCAAATGAATTTCTGTCTCTGATCACAGTTACCAAATAATTACTAATGGTGATTTGGGGGAAGGAGAAATGATTGAGGGAGGTTATTGTATGATACTTTATTCTCCAAATGTAATGGAAGCATTTTCAACTCAACTCAGTTATAATGTATCATTCATGATAGGTTATACTAGTGCTTTTAGAAAGCTTTATTTACTTTTCAGAACCTCCATGAATTGATTCATTTCCATTAGTGTGTCAGCAGACCTTCACGTATTTTAGCTACTGCACTGGATTGAAAAAATAAAATCCTTAGTATATAAACGTTTGATTGGTTTATTTGACTGTTCATTTCTTACAATTGTTTATGTTTCAGGAGTTTTTGGGAAAACAGTAATAGAGAAATCTTGACAATCAATACGTGTTACATTCTTTTTAACCTGTTTTCTCTTATTTCAGCTTTACTTTTAGAAGCCCAATCAACACCATTTCAGGTCACACCTTCAACTATGGCAAATATTGTGAAAGGCCTGTATACCCTCAGACCAGGTAAACATTTCTCATTTCTGTTGGAGTTGGAACTGTTTGTTACAGCCTTTTCCAAGAGGGCAGTGGTTCTGTATGTGTTTTGTGAGGCCTAATGGTACTTGCATTTGCTGGAGCAAAAAAATTGAATAGACATTCATCATTGTAAAATGTAAACTCAGAGCTCAGTTGGAATGTTCTCTGCTAGTGGAAACCAACTAGTTTGTTTTTTTTGCAGAACCTGTGAGGGAAATACAAGAAATAAATTGTATTCTACAATTGAACCTCATATTTGGTCTTAATTTCTCCTTTACTTCCTACCTCACGCTGCACAGACATCCACATTCACAAGTCCATCTTCTTAGGCCTGTTAAGTAACTTGCAAAGTTACAGTCATTTTGTAAAGATGTTCTGGGGAGAGAAATAGAACTAATCACAAGAACTGAAGGAAATACCAAAGATAACTATAGTCAAAAGCATGGTTTTAAAATTAATGTGTCTGTCTTAGAATAAAACACTATAAATTTAAAGGAATCCCAAGGAGCTTTTGTATATATCTTTCTATAAGCGAGAACCTCAAACTTGTCAGAATTGTCTGGCAACTTATAAATGTCCATGGGAGAGAGATTATAGAAGTTATCAAGATAGAACATTGTTCTACAATCTATAAACACAAGGGATGCTTTTTAGACAGTAATTACCTTTTTGTGAAATTCTTTTATTGTTTGAGGATTAAATGAAATAAAACATGATATAAAGAGCTTAACGCACAGTACCTGATAACATAATAAGCATGCAACCATTCACTGCTGTTATTACTATCCATTTGAGTTTAATGGTTATTTTAGTTAATTGATGGCTTGTTTGCTTCATTAATTTAAACGACCTGTCAGAATTTAGCAAGCTAAAATGGAAACCAAGTGAAAACTGGGTACTAGTAGACTGATTTTAGAAATACCTTCTTAGGCCGAGTGCGGTGGCTCACACCTGTAATCCCAGCACTTTGGGAGACTTGAGGCGGGCAGATCATAGGTCAGGAGATCCAGACCATCCTGGCTAACATGGTGAAACCCTGTCTCTACTAAAAATACAAAAAAATTAGCCTGGCATAGTGGTGGGCGCGTTTAGTCCCAGCTACTCGGAAGGCAGGAAAATGGCGTGAACCCAGGAGGTGAAGCTTCCAGCCTGGGCGATAGAGCGAGACCCTGTCTTAAAAAAAAAACAAACAAAAAACAACCTTCTTAGGCTACTTTAAATGATTAATGACTTCTAGAGTATTCAAATTTATTGTTAAATTTGGATCTAGGTTTTGAGCTCTACTCTGATTTTTGACAGAAATTACTTGTATAAAGTAGTAAAGATATTTTATTGCATGTGTCCAATAAACCGGTATTTTTCTGTATCTAGTTTCTCAGAATTTTACAGCAGTGTGATGAAGATGGCTCCTGAAATAGTGTGTGTGTACGTGTACTAGGTTATGAATGAGTTTTTTTCTTTTGAAAGCATCTAAGTACAGTATGATAAATTCTGCCTCCCAAGTAGGCAGCTTTATAAGCTCTGGCTTTTATAAGTAACAAAATTGCAAAATAAAGTTAATCACTAAAGGTAGAAAAGTATTGTGGGTACATGTTTATCTAAATGCTATTTTATCCAGGTTCAAACTCTTGTAATAGGGTTTATACTACTTGTAAGGAGAATTCTATATTTGAGAATTGTCCTTTTGAAAAGGTGAATTTTATCACATACTAACCTTTTGCTGCCCTGCACATTTTCTGAGATACTTGAAAACATATTTTGACATTTACATGTTTTGCCAGTACCCATTATGTTCCTGCTTTATTAAAGCCATTTTATTCACCTGACAGATTAAGATTAGAATATTTTAAAAGTTGAATTTTGAAAGGAAAAGTTTGTTCCACTGCAGTAGTTCTTAAGAGCTGGTCTTTGTATGACTGCATCTGAGTCACTTATGAAGGCTTTTTAAAGTCTAGATTCCTGGGCTGTAATCCTTGGAGATTCTGATGACTTACCATTTTGGCATCCAGTCTTTAGAAATAGTTGCAACAATCCTATTCTGCCCTTTTTCAGTTAATACACACACTTTGTTTCTTCATCTTTATTTTGTAGCAGATGGGTTTGACTTTGCCAGCTCTGACTGATTAGTGATTCCCCATAGCACTGTATTGAGACTCTTGGTGAAGCCATATTTGAGCTGGACTGGAAGGAGGGAAACATTTTGCCACGAGTTTCTTCCAAGGGGTGACTGAATGAATTGGTCCTTGTATCATTTGCAGTGTTTATTTGCCAATTTTAATTAGCCATTCTGCTGTTAGACATTTTGTTAACTTCCACTTTTTTACTTAACACAGACCAAATGTTCCACAGCATCAAACGTGGCTTTTTCTAATTTATAATCATTTACTCAGATTGTTGTTTTTAAAATGGGTTTACTAGATTCAAGATACTGATATTTTTATAGTTTTTGAGATGTATAGCCAAAATGTTTTCCAAGAGGAGAAATGTGAACAGGCTAGATTAAAACAATTCAAAATGAATAATAGCGTTAATTGAGGACCACCACCAAGGAAGGGAAATAATGGTTTCCCCATGCCCTTGATACAGGTGGGTGTTAATTCTCTTTAATGTTCACCGAATAAAAGGGAGAGAGCATGTTTATTTTAGCTTTAATTTTTTTTTGAATATTAACAGGGCTATTTATTCTGTTTATATTATTCTTATAGGTTCTTTCACTCATTTACCTGGTCTTACTGATTTGTACATATTCGTCATAATAAAGATAGTAATTCGTCTTTGTCATATCTGGTACAGGTGTTTTCCTGTAACTTCTTTGCCTTATTTTCTATAGTCTCCTGATCTTTTAAAAAATGATTTGATAACCACTTCTTTTTTTTTTTTTTTTTTTTTTTTACTGTTGTGTATATATATTTGCTGTAATTTAACAGGGGTCAAAAAATATTTTCAGAGTACTAACCAGTTACCTCCAGCCCACTTTAAACGTTCAGTCCCCCCTACCTTTTGAGCTGCCTCTTTTTTTAAATATATCTACTATTTGTACTGTTCTGTTCTTGGGCTATATATTATATATTGTTTTAATTAATGGCTAATAAGGCTGATATTTCCACCAAGCCCCCTCCCACTCAGAATTGTGTGGTAATCACATTCATGTTTTCTTCCATACTTCAGATTTGTTCAAAAATTCCCTAGGGATTTTCACTAAATTCTGTTAAATCAGTAAAATATAAAAATGGCTTTCTTCATACTGTAAAATTCTTTTTTTTTTTTTTTTTTTTTTGAGATGGAGTCTTGTTCTGTGGGCCAGGCTGGAGTGCAGTGGTGCCATCTCCGCTCACTGTAAGCTCCGCCTCCCGGGTTCACACCATTCTCCTGCCTCAGCCTCCCGAGTAGCTGGGACTACAGGTGCCGCCCACCACGCCCAGCTAATTTATTGTATTTTTAGTAGAGACGGGGTTTCACCGTGTTAACCAGGATGGACTCGATCTCCTGACCTCGTGATCTGCTCGCCTTGGCCTCCCAAAGTGCTGGGATTGCAGGCCTGAGCCACCGCGCCTGGCCTATAAAATTCTTTTTAGAAGGGAAATTTTACTGCTCTATGTTTTTTACCAGAATGGGATTGCACCAATTTTTTTCCCCTGCTTTAAATTTGGCTTACTATGTATTTTAAAAGAAAACTTTACCTTTTCCATTTAATTTGATGTGTTTATATGCTTTCCTTAATGAATTGTTTCCTTTCCTCACAGAGTGGGTTCAGATGGCTCCAACTCTATTTTCTAAATTTATTCCAAACATTCTCCCTCCGGCGGTGGAATCTGAACTTTCTGAATATGCTGCTCAAGATCAGAAATTTCAAAGAGAACTTATACAAAATGGTTTTACAAGGCAAGTTTTTTTTCTTTAGTGGTCAAATATGTCCATTTCCCTAGGCCAGTTTGGCTTGACATGGGATAAATGGTAAGGTTCTGAGAATGGGAGGTAACTGGCCAAGAGTCTTGCTGCTGCAAGACATTAATTAGCTCCTTGTCTGTAGAAATGTTGAAGCCGGGTTTTGATTTTGTGGAAGCTGCTCTTCATTACATACATTTTTTTTGTTTTGTTTTTGTTTTGTTTTTGAGACGGAGTCTTGCTCTGTTGTCCAGACTGGAGTGCAGTGGCACAATCTCGGCTTACCGCAACTCCACTCCTGGGTTCAAGCAGTTCTCCTGCCTCAGCCTTCCAAGTAGCTGGGATTACAGGCGTGCGCCACCACGCCTGGCTAATTGTTTTGTATTTTTAGTAGAGATGAGGTTTCACCATGTTGGCCAGGCTGGTTTCGAACTCCTGACCTCAAGTGATCTGCCCACCTCGGCCTCTCAGAGTGCTGGGATTATAGGCATGAGCTGCCAGGCCCAGCCCATACCTTTCGAAGAAGGGATTTCTCACTGGGTGAGCAGTTAGGTGGGCAAGCTCCAAGAGCTCTTTTAACTTTGATTTTCTTGTATTAGTCCTGTGCATATGGAAAAACATTATAGAACTTCTCCGATCTGTTATAATGTACTTTTATGGCTAACCTAGCAAAGAGCTTTAAATTCTGTATTTTGGCCGGGCGCGGTGGCTCAAGCCTGTAATCCCAGCACTTTGGGAGGCCGAGATGGGTGGATCACGAGGTCAGGAGATCGAGACCATCCTGGCTAACACGGTGAAACCCCGTCTCTACTAAGAAATACAAAAAACTAGCCGGGCGAGGTGGCGGGCGCCTGTAGTCCCAGCTACTCGGGAGGCTGAGGCAGGAGAATGGCATGAACCCGGGAGGCGGAGCTTGCAGTGAGCTGAGATCCGGCCACTGCACTCCAGCTTGGGCTACAGAGCAAGACTCCGTCTCAAAAAAAATAAAAAAATAAAATAAATAAAATAAATTCTGTATTTCACACTTCCCTCTTGCCCTAAATTCTAGTGGTTTCTTCTTAAAAAATAGGGCATCTCTTTATTTGCCTGTCTTGGTTTTGATA